GAAATGAATTTATGATTTTACAATTTGATAATAGATTTGCTTTAATGATTCACACTTTGAATGGCCAAAGATTGTGAGCGGTGAACCACACAGTTCAGTATTGAGACCCTAACTTTTTAAATTATTTAGAATGTGTTGTTAAAAGAACATTTTCTGTGTTTGCAGATGACTCCAAGGGGTCTATGTATAAAACAACTGGTGAATGAATGTCATACACATTTGTGAGGGCTGCACAGATTTTGGCTGTAATTTCTGTAGTAGAATAATTCCCATGATCGTAAGCTCTAGTGGACAAAATGCAGTATAGTCTTCTGAAATAACTGAGTGAGAAAATTTACCACACTTTGGCCACTAAATGGAACTGACAATTATAGGAATTAATGTATTACAGAAATTACACCAAAATTCATGCAGCCTACACAAACATGTGACATTAGTCCAAGGAATGCTTTATAAATAAACCCCAAAGCCATGTAGTGGAACAAAGTCCTTACAGGATATCTCCAACTTACAGGCAGACCTGATGGGACTGTTTTGGCAACTATGGGACATATAAGTTAAAGTTTGGTATATTTTATGATGTGTATCCCATTTTCTGCATTGTGAGATTGTGTTAAGACGAGTTCTATGAATGGCGGAGAAAAAGCAGAAGGGGGCATGCAGGTGGAGAAACTGTAGAGGTACACATGGGAAAACTGCAGTAAAAACAAACACCTGCAGGTAATGGCATACATACCATTAAACATAACTAATATGTATGGTGCTGTAACACAAAATAAAAGTTATACCAAACTTCAGTTTTAAAGTTGATAATTATAAAGTAATGCACTGGAGGGCTAAAACATGCATGCGTCATACATTATAGAGAATGTACAGCTGGGGGAATCAATAATTCAAGAAGGATCTGGGTGTTCTGGTAGATCATAAACTTAATATTACCATGCAATGCCGAGCTGCAATTCCTAAAGCAAGCAAAAACACTTTTTTTTGTATTAATAGTAGTATAGACACCAGACAGAGCGAGATATGATCTTATCCTGTACAAATCATTAATAAGACTGGAATATGCAGTTCAGTTTTGGGCACCAATTAAAAAAATAACTAAGTGCAGTGTTACATTCACTAAAAAAGATACTAAGTGTATACAGCGCAATTTACAGGAATATAATACAGGGAAAAGACATATAAAATGTGAAAAGCAATCAAAGAATTAAAAGCCTGCTCCCCAGTCATCATGGGGTTTATTTACTAAAGCTGGAGAGTCCAAAATCAGACTCCCTTCTGCATAGAAACCAATCAGCTTCCAGGTTTCATTGCCAAAGCTTCATTGAACAAGCTGAGGTTAGAAGCTCATTGGTTTCTAGGCAGAAGGGAGTCTGATTTTGGACTCTCCAGCTTTAGTAAATAAACCCCCATGTGTCTAACTCGGTACATAAAAATAGTACAACAGGCACATCATAGACTGCTATACGAAATATATACAGTGCGAAAAGTGTAGAAAGTGACACATAAAATATATCCATGTGAGGAATGAACTCTAAGGCTCCATGTACACAAGCCTCTCCTGACCGCCGGCTGTGGGAAGACACAAATCGCAGAACCGTGTTTTCCCGCAGTCGGCACTCAAAACACGCGATTCTTCCACGTTCAGGAGAGGGAGGTTCAAAACGGAGCTCCACCCAAAAGGGGAAGTTGCATTTTAAGGACTGCTCCCATGATCCCCATTAAGGATTGGAACCTTTGGGGGGAGGGTACCCGAATTTGACAGGTACCCGCTCCCACTTCCGGTCCGATCGTCTAGGCGATCAGAAACGGACGGTGTCCTCCCTCCCTGTAGTCTATTGGGACATGTAACAGGTCCCAGAAGACTACAGGACCATTCATGAAGTGCAGTGCTACTCGCGCATGCGCAGTGGGTACCCGACTGTGAAGCCGCAAGCTATCACAGCCGGGTGCCCACACTGAAGATGTCGGCCTCTTGGAATACAGGATGGCCGGTGAAACAGGCTGTGGGGGACACACCACGGGACCAAGGGACAGGTAAGTGGCTATTTTTTTTTAAAAATCAGCAGCTACAGTTTTTCTAGCTGCTGACTTTTATTTTTGACAGCATGAGAGGAACTCCGCTTTAATCTCACCTAAACGTGGCAGCTCCTTATCTCTACTAAAAGTTTGTGTACATGGACACACAGGCTTTTATAGAGTTGAGTTTAGGAACTTTGGCAAAAAAAATGCCAAAAGCTCCTAAACTCGAGTTTAGGAGCTGCTCGTGTACATGAGCCCTAACTTCTAGTCCATGAACCCTAACTTCTAGTCCATGAACTACACATACCTTGTGTATATATGCAGATACATTTTCAAATTTCTTATGAACAGGTGCTAACTTGTATAAAATATCAGTGCCCCTTAGTGCTCAGTGCTGTTCCACCCTGAGTGGACAGACGCTCACCTTATATGGTGAACTTCAATGATATATAAGTTCATACAATGCAATTATCCACTATGGGGTTATGGAGCAGCAAGGACCTCAACTGGTTGTAAAATTTCTCCAGGAGGTGTGACTCACAGAAGAACATAAAATTAAACCATAGTGCTTTCCATAAAAACAACCTCTTAAAATCCTTACAACACACTCACTTGTAGTGTCACGCTGCAACAGTGAAAACTTGGAAAAGCCCACATATAGGTGATCCTTGCACAGAGAAGAAAGGCTCAATAGTGTGAAAAGAGAAAGGAAAACCCAATGTTAGACTAAAAAGAGTCTCCTGTGTCTTAGTAGAAATCCAAGATTTGAGCGTTCCACTATGCGATGGCTGCAGCTCTTCTGATAGAGTAGTGGATGTTTTCTGTGCACTGAAAAAACAATTAGGGAACAGAAGGCAGCACCATCTAAGTGTAGTGTTTATTAAAAGCAGTAAACAAAGGGGAAAATCACAAGGTACTGCAGATTTCGGATAGGAAATGGCGCTGAGCATAGGTAGGATGTAGATACAGCAGCAATCGGGTAGCAGAAACCACCATGCATACATTGGGCAGGACTGGGACTGAAAGTGACGTAGGATGTAATGATGTCATGGCTAGAGGCGTGGTAACACGTTTTGGAGCATCGGGACCGTTCCTTTGTCAAGCCATGAATAGGAGTAAAACTGTATAGCATAAGATTGGGGTTCCCCTTTAATATATATTCTCTACCCAATTCTTCCAGTGCTAGGCTCTGTTTATTTGAGAACTCAAACTAGAGCTTAATTTTATATAAAGTTCCACCTATACTCCCTATTGGTTTAAAGAGTACCTTTTTGCATAAAGTCTCACCCCTTTTTCCTCGTCCTCTTTATAGAAAGGCTATACAGGCTTACTTCCATTCATGGTTTGGAGCTCTCCCCATGTCCCGAAACATGTTACCATGCCTCTAGCATTGATGTCATCACATCCTACGTAATTCTGGTTCTGGTCATGGACGCTGTATGCATTCCATGGTGGTTACGGCTCCTGCTTTATCTACATCTTACATCAGCATTGTTTCCAAGCTCTCAGGTGGTACTTTGCAACACCTGGCCGCCTTCCTGCCAAATTCTGCGAGTGGCCATAGGACTGTTTGATGAGCCCATATGCGTCTATCCTTGTGAGTGCATTTTAACCCTTTGTTTACTGCTTTAAAAAAAAATCACTACACTTAGATGGTGGCACCTTCTTTTCCTTAATTGATTTTTACAGAGATGCTGTTGAATCTTCAAGAATGCACACCTCAGCTCGGCCCACCAGGATGACATCACCTTACTCTCCATCCTTCACATTTCTACTCTCTTCTTTAAGGGCACAGAACAGATGATGTTTGCTTCTTACATAGCTCCAGTTTGTTTGCAGCTTCTACAGAACACCAGTTCACAAAAAGGAGACTTTGCAGAGAAGGGCAACTAAAATAATAAGAGGCATGGAGGAGCTCACCTCTGGAAGAAATTTTATCTGAATTGAATTTATTCTCTATTGGGAATAGGCATTTAAGCATGGACTCTACCTTTGCAGGTATGCCAGGGCAGCATACAGCCTGAGATAGGATTAGAGACATAGGAAAGGACTGTTGTTTGTGAGTTGGACTCTGTCATGTTTTTGATACTTTCAGTATAAGTAAAACATTGAAATTTTGCCTTCTGCCTGGTCTGGAGTCATTTAAAGGAGTGCAATGCAAGCAACTGGCATATTTCTACAACTGTTGGGTCCAAGGCAAATTGGGGTATGAAGACAGCACTTAAGAGTAATCCTGGTGGTGACATCACACAGACCCTTATGACCCATCCATTGTTGCAGATCCCTCCTCTCCCCTGCGGCCGCTGCTGGCTGTCAGAGGGGAGCAGGATTACGTGAATGGACCCGAGTGGCTGGAAAGTAGGTAGGTATACACATCTTTCTTACACAGGTTGGTCGGCGTGGGTGTTAGGGTTAGCCTGGAATTTTACTTCAAACGTGGCTGCATTCTTTATGTACTGATTTGCGGAAACATGATTCGCTGTTGGTTATGCAATTATGAGCAGGCATGACTAATAAAATATCCACTGAGAACATAAAAAAAAAAAAAAAAAGAGTCATCCTAGTGCAGTACAGCAAGTGGTTACCATGGGTAATGTTAGTTTACAGTAAATTAATGCAGCCTGTTGGTAGCATGTACCAGTTATAGGTGAAACGACTTCTAGCAGCGAGGGAGATGTTGATGGCACTCTTTCCATGGTCTGTCTCCCATAGCAACAGGAGTGGATCGGCACCGCAGAGGTCCCCAGCCTTTACAGTGGTACATAAGCTCAAGTGAAGTGCAGGTATGAAGCCTGTGCTAGGTGCACAATGGGGCCCATTCTGCTACAGGGAACTGTAGTAGGAAAACGCTGTACAGGTGTTTGTGGACAAGGCTCAACTTGTCCCTACTAATTGCAAGTCTACAGTGGGAAGATGTATGGGGACCCAAGAGTAACTGGATAACAGCAATGGTGCAAGTGTACGTGCTGTACATTTATCTCTAAGAATGGAGGCCCACCTTAAGGCTGAGTATTCCCCCACGGAGGTCTCTGCCTTGTCTCTGGGCAGTATGTACAGGAGAGGAATGTGGAGTGGATGACAGTGGGCAGTATGTACAGGAGAGGAGTGTGGAGGGGGGGTAACAGTGATCGGTATGTACAGGAGAGGAGTGTGGAGGGGATGACAGTGATAAGTATGTACAGGAGAGGAGTGCGGACAGGGTGACAGTGATCGATATGTACAGCAAAGGAGTGTGGAGGGTGTGACAGTGATCAGTATGTACAGGAGAGGAGTGCGGAGGGGGTGACAGTGATAAGTATGTACAGGAGAGGAGTGTGGAGGGGGTGGTGACAGTGATCATTATGTACAGGAGAGGAGTGTGGAGGGTGTGACAGTGATCAGTATGTACAGGAGAGGAGTGCGGAGGGGGTGACAGTGATAAGTATGTACAGGAGAGGAGTGTGGAGGGGGTGACAGTCATCAGTATGTACAGGAGAGGAGTGTGGAGGGGGTGACAGTGATCAGTATGTACAGGAGAGGAGTGTGGAGGGGGTGGTGACAGTGATAAGTATGTACAGGAGAGGAGTGTGGAGGGTGTGACAGTGATCAGTATGTACAGGAGAGGCGTGTGTGACAGTGATCAGTATGTACAGGTACAGGAGGTGTGTTACTGGCCAGATCACAAGGTGAACAGAGGGGAAAAGACTGAAAAAAGAAAACTAATACAGCCACCACATTTAAGGATTGGCAAGCTGCAATATATTAGATTTTTTGGTTTAATAACATTTCAAGAGAAGAATTCCAGGGATGGATATTTTATACATTGTTAAATTGGCCCAACTATGCATATACCATATCTGGCCAATGCCCTTGGAAGCTGGAAAACACTGAGGTCCAATTCACACCAGTGCGTTGATCTGCATTTTAGCTCAGCTGTAAAACGGAAAAACATCTGAAAAACAATCATTTCCAACACTGTGTTGACCTGTGTCACGCTAAAATGCAACAAGTATGCATTTTAGTGCAACACAAGGGATTTTAGCGGATGTCAACACAAAAAAAAAAACAACAGACATCAACTATGTATGTCAATGGACATCAAAATGGATGTCAATGGATGTCAGCATGTGACTAAAATGGATGGAAATGTACATCCATTTTCTATACATTTTAGTGTGAATTGGCCTTGAAGCAGACACCGCTACTCTAATGATCTCCATGTGCTTCCAGGTCCTGTGCTGAGTGGCTGCCCCGCTGCATTTTGAACACAGAAAGTTGGCTGCTCGGCACAGGCATCATTTAGAAAACGGTTTGCATGAATGCAATGCATTCTCTGCTTGGACAAGGTGGAAAGGCAGGGTAGTGATTTCATGCTCTTCACCTCACCCGATCAGAGAACACTGTATGCATTCAAGTTAAAAAAAAAAGATGCATGTTTGGTCAGCATAGAATTCCGCTTGACAGCAAGTGAATAAAACATTAGTTATTAATTAGTTATAAAAAATTATAAATGGTCAAATACACCTCTTGGACTCCAATAATCCGGCAAGAAGCTCTCCACAGCAGAATCTCATTGGCAGCAAAAAATAAAAAAATACACTTCCAAGTGAATTAATTTTAAAAAGGCTTCACGTCATTTATTGGTTCTTCTAAAAAGGTTTCCACACAACATTAAACCTTGTGTTACACGGGGTCACCAAATAAATAAAAAAACGCAAATGTTAAAATAGCAGGCTGATAGCTTGCTATGTGAAAAAAAACACCATCGGCATCAAGCATGATGATGTCACGACAAACCACTTCCGATGCGTTTCGTCAGAATGAAGTCTTCGGGGGATGGGCTGAACCTCTTTGCTATTTTTTGCTTCCAATGAGATCCTGCCTTGGGGAGCTTCTTGTCGGATTCTTTGAGTCGGTGCATGGAGTCCAAGAGGTGTATTTGACCATTTATAATTTTATGGTCCATCTTTTCTGATAAGAGGCGTCTGACAGCGGGGCATCTTTGGATCATGACATATCTATGGAGTGATTTCTTCACACATTGGGAAGTAGCAGCATAGTTACATAGTTAGTCTAGCTGAAAAAAGACAAAAGTCCATCCAGTTCAATCATAGAAAAAAAAAAGTTATATTCCTATACCGACAGTTGATCCAGAGGAAGGCAAAAAAAAAAAAAAAAAAAGCATTCTGTCAAGCACTCTGACATATGGACAGATTGCATTATTTCTTTTGATGAATTATATTCTTATGCACTTCAGGATCCACAATCATATTGACTGTATGCACTTTATGTATATGCACATCATATATGCACTTTTTATATATGCACATTATTAATTTGCACTTTATTCATTTATTTATTTATCTATTTACTGTCATATCTGGAGATTTATTATTTATGTTTATTTGGTATGAATTAGCGCTGATTTTTATTGTACTTATAAACAACATAAGTAACTTGGTAAGATATTTAGGGTATAACATGCTCCAGACCTGCCCCAGCCACCCCCGATCCCTCCCATGACAGTGAGCGGGGAATACTCTCCCCACACCTGCTGTCACATTTTGAAAACACAAGGATCTATGAATAAGAAAACCACAAATACCATCTGCCACTGCGGCAGACAGCTTGTAGTTCTTAATAAACCATGAGCATGGTGACCAGCATGCTCAAAGCTAATTCACACTGCCTACAGCTCTGTAACAGAAAGCCCATACAGCGTTACAGGCAACAGAGCTGCCCTCTGTGTGAGCCTGAGGCCCCATGTACATGGGATAAGCACAGGAGGACCTCCCAAGTGCCCAGAATGCACTGAAAAGTGGTAAATTATTAACTGTTTCAGAGAAATACAGAGGGTAGAAGCAGAGACAGCAGTATGTGTTGAGATTAGCTAGGTGTAAGTTGCTCATTAACATTTCTTTTGTTTCCAAGGGTGTGAAAGTCTGGTCCAGGGAGTCATTAAGGCCACCTGGAAGGGGGTCTTCATGAGGAATTTGAGGTGTGAATGGTCATTAACATATCTTTTGTTTGCAAGGGTGGGAGAGGTCTGAGGTGTGAATTGGTCATTACAATTTGTGACAAGTTTGGTAGGAACATCCTGTGTTCAGTGTTTTGTCCATCTGAGCACCTTGAAAACTCTTTGCATGTATTTTGCATGGTGAAAAAAAGGATCTGGACAGCATTGTGAACTGGAAGAGTTATAAAAATTTTCAAACGCGAAGGCTTATAAACACGATTTGCTGCGTTTAGCCGCATTTACAAGCATTTTGCGTTTGAAACACTGATAACATCGACGTCTGAACGCAAGTTTGTTGCGTTCAAAAAAACGACTGTAAACTCAACTGCCTGTAAATGACTGTAAACGAAGATGTGTATATGGACACATAGGAAAACATTAGGGTGAGTTCAGGGGCTGCTGAAAAGACGCTGAACAGCTCCTAAACATGAGTTTAGCAGCTGCAGTGTACATGAACACTGACACTGCACCTGAGATCCACTGGGGCTCCTGTGAAAAAAAATAAATAAATGCAGATTTTTTCCCCTGCAAAAATATTCACATTATTATTTTTTTTTTTTTTCAAAAAGGTGAACTTAGCCTTTAAATTTGGCCTAGTGCCAGTACATTGCCAGAGTCACTGCTCTATACTCACCAGACTCACATACATACACAGAGCTGACCTATATTTAGGGACAATAGTTTTGCTTTAATGGGAAACTGTACATTTTTAAAAATAAATTCTGAAACATATACAGTATAACTGCTACATATGTCATTCTGGAATTCAAAGGCAATGCTCACTTTCCAAAGTTTTAACTAAATATTAGTGTTGGTCTATTCCCTGTGCCGTTTGTTTCTCTTGCCTTATAACAATGGGCTTACATACTGTGGCTGCAATTTATATATTAATTTCCATAGCCTGTCCCTATTCACTAAGCTGACAGGTAACGTCTTATTCTTGCCAGGCAGCATCCAATCAATGCCTCCCAATTTCTTCTATGTTGCATCACAATATGGGAATGCTAATGTGATAAAACATCTTTTCCATTCATTGTTCTACCAGCTTGTGTCTGTCAAACCTAATTACTTTCACTTGGAGAACACTAGACTGAAAAACCAGAAAGTGAGATTGTGGGATATGTAGCTTCTTTACAGATAGCACCAGTACTTTGGGGGTTCTGGTGAAATATCATGGATCTAAACAGACTCCTGGTGTTTCACTTGAGACAGAAAAAGATTGAGGACGCAGATTCCTCAAACCCTTTCTCTGCAGCCTCAGCTGCTTTCAGAATGAATGCACGGGATGCGCTCTGTACAGAGGCTTATTGTTCATTCAAACGGAAGCATAGTAAACAGTTTACTATGCTTCTGTTCTAAATGAACACAGTGAGTGATTGATAGCCATCACTCACTGTGATCATTCAGGAAAGGAAGGGGATGGTACGGTATGTAGACAAGGAGGGTGATCAGTGTGGTGGGAGGGGCAATTACTGGAACTGATCCCCCTGTCGCTCTTCCTGCAGCAGCTGAAAGCAAGTGGGGGAAGGCCACGCTGTTGAACGGATGGGACCCAGGACCGGTGCCACCCCCTTATCGGCAGTCCTTGATATGCCACTTGTGTGCTTAGTACAGTGTGCATTTCAAGAAATGATGCTCATTATCAAGGCTTACTAATATCCAAATGCTGCTGCAAAGTGTGATATTCATGACTGCACTGAACACATCTCACACAGTAGTATGTTTCCAAGTTGTGGTTGCGTAGTTTCAGGTTTTGACAAGTGAACATTTGTCAGAGTCCAGTGTGTTAGCTTGAATGAATGATATACAGTAAACCTTATAAAAGCCAGAATGAAGGATGTTAATGACCACTCAACCTCTTCATTATAAAGGAGAGCTGAAGGGCACTGTGGGGGTACAGATCAATAGCATAGTAAAATAGCTGAGAGCTTTATAACTCATCAGTAGAGCATACTCTGTGTGCTCAAACTTCCAACAGGGTTCAGACATATGCAATTACTGCACTAAAATGCATCCATACTACAGATTCCATGGCCACTATCACATACATTATCTCGTATGCACAATACAGATAAATAGTGAAAACATGTTTGTGCTGCACTATGTGTACAAAACACACACAAAGCGTATATTTCTTCAAAATTAAAGTGATACTAGACACACAATGTTAAAGTTACATTATCCCTTTTCTTTCTGTATGGGGATGATGGCACTGTAATTATTTTACTTAGCCCCTTGGCGCCGGCGGCTCCTGGTCCTTTAAGGGCTTCAGAAGCTGGAAGGCGGGGTGGGGTTTTAGGGTCATGTGACCACCGTGATTCGCCATCACGGTGGTCACATGATCGGGAAAGATACCGATCGAAAGAGGAGATCGGGACCTTTCCGTGAGTACCGAATATGTGTGCTGGGAGCGTGCAGGGTGCATGCTCTTAGCACATACATTTTTCTTAATTGCACGCAAATATGCGGCTGCTTGGCGTCAAGGCCCAGATGCCAGGAGGCTGCACATTTGCGTGCGGCCGCCGCAAAGAGGTTAAACAAAACATCTAAGTACCTTTTTCCTAATTGATATACAGCTGTCACATGA